GCACCCCTAGTTTTCTCTTCCTCTTCTCTAAAGCAGCGCAGCATGGCCTCGCCCCCTTTGTTGCCTTTTCCCGAGGGTTTATCTGGGTTTATGACATCATGAACCCGGGAAGTAACTCGTTGTAGTCCCTACCAGCCGTTTTTGTAGGCATTAAACTGCCAGAATTTTAAAAGACGATATCTCCGTTTGCATTGAACTTTCAGCTTCGTAACTTTGCAGATATTGTTTATGCTCAAACAGCAACATTACACACTAACTAATGTTAAAAAAGTGAAATCGCAATCAACCACCCCTTTAATATTTAATTTTATTCTATTGTTATTAATGTAATATACATGTTAACACAATATTATGAAAATATATCATATTAAATATTAAATGAATATTAATATTGGCAGTTTGAAAAGTTTGATTTAAAGGAAATATTGTTTATTTTTACCACAGATTAATAAAATAAAAATAAATGTTATTGCCATCGTTTATTAAAGCTGCACTTTGTATTGTGCCCAACAACATCCCTTGGTAAATGACTGTAACACACTGCCTCAGTTGGCTTATTGTTCGAGTCCTCTGCCTTTCCCATCTTTGGAAAGAAAGTGTGCACAACAACTTTCTCAATTTCTGAGACTGTGACACCTGACACACTTTAGTGCAGTATTACACACTGAGAAGGCACCATTTCTGCACCTGGTTTTAAAACAAGTAAAAGGTTTTGAAAAATGAGTTTTGCTTGCAATAGCACTTAGCAACTTTTTCTGTCACCAACCTTTCCCATTCTCTAACCTCTTTCTCTCCATCTCTGCGTCTCAGTGCCTGTGCGAGAGGGAGGGTTGATTCTGTGAAGGAACTTGCCAACTACCACATTTTGCTGACCATCTGGCAAGAAGCAGTTATGCACCTGTTAGGAGCAGCTGCAGGAGACAGGAGCTAGGTACAGACATATCATCTCTCTCGCTGTTTTTTTATTAAGTCCTAGCAAACCCTGTACATCCATCCATCAGGTGCCCTAAGGGGCCACAGGGAGCTCCGCCAGTGAAGACAAATTAATACAGGTTCAACTGGAAGGTATGCGGGCAAAATGTGCCTGCTTTCACCAGATGAAAAATTTCATCCTGTGCAGAAAATTGAGGTTGCTACATTGTCACAGAATTTGAAGAAAACGCTTAAAATTAAAAAAAATTGAGAACTGCTGACAAGACCAGCATGCATTTCCATGGCAGCCCAGGCTGATTTATTATAGTTAGAAAAAATGATTTGGTGATTGTCTATCTGGTGGCATGATCTTTCTGGTTAAAATTAAAGCTCAGTTAAGCCAGACCAGCCATAATGGTCTTTTCTAAAGTATGGACACATCTGAAAATAATACATGAGATATTTCTTTTATAGATGCACAGGTTGCGGCCCAGATTGTGACTAAAATGAGACAAAAAAATAAAAAATAAATAAAACAGTGAAAATAAATCTAAATCTTTTCAAGAAAAAAAAAAAATATATATATATCTATATCACAGGCTTTAGTGTTTCCTGTACATAACAATGAATGCAACTCACCACAATGTCCAATTCTTGAACAAAGGACTCTTACAAACTAGTTATTTTTAATGAGTCAGTCAAAAAGATTCATGAAACAGTCTCAGTCTTGAATCAGACCCAATGAATCAGTGAATCATTCAAAGCCGTTTCTGAGTTCACAACTATCTCACTGAATTGTCATTTTTCATTTGTTTTCTGAACTAACCAGGAACTTGAAATCAAAGATACATACTGTATTATAAACATTTCTGTTATCATAAAAAGTAAAAAAAAATTATAATAATAATAATTTTAAAAATATCATTGTTTAGTGCAATTGTACTAACATGAATTAACAACTAAGAGCATTTATTAATCTTGTTTAAATGTTAATTCTTACAAATACTTATATATTTCTTTTAAAAAGTTGTACATATTAAAATTAAATTATGAAGTAAAAATAATAGTATTTTTAAAAATGAACATCAATCAAGATTAATAGATGCTGTATTTGTTTATAGTTCATGATATATATGTTAATGTGTACAATCTTATTATAAAGTTTAAAAACTATTCTATAAAATCATACTGCATATATAAAAATCAATATTGCATGTATCTACACTCTCAGAAGAAAGGTACAAAAGCTGTCACTGGTGTGACGACCTTTCAAAAGATACACCTTTGTACTTTATTTAACCCTAAAGGGTGCATATTAGTACCTTTGGAAAGTTTTTTGCCCTAATGAACACCTGAGTGTAGCTTTTGCTTGTGAAATAGTTATCTTCTGTTTGCTGTCTTATCTCTTTCTGTTTTGAGACATGGCCTAGCAATGCCTTCACACTGGCTAAATAACACTGCACGAGTACTCCAGGTCTATACCATCAACCGCCGCTCTCAGTGGGCAAGTGCCAACTGGCAGCTGGCCAAGCTGGCATGAGCAAATCCCAGCATTCTGATGCCTTGCACAGGGTCTGGCTCCACCCATCAACACACCATCACCAGCTCCCACTCCAACACATGTGCAGCTATTAGCAGGAACAGTCACCAAGGAGACGTGCTGTTGGGCAGCGTGGCACGGTTTTGTGCTATCAGAGAGAAGAGGGATATGACCAATTTACTGATAATAGCATATCAAGTTGTCAATTTCCATTTCTACCTTTTGGAACACAGATATGAACAGCTGAAGCAAGGACCTTCCTGAAAACAGACCAGAGCTGTAAGCCAAGAGCCTGTAATTATGGAGAACGTTAAGATGAGTTACATTTTTTAGGTTCATTTACAAAACAGGAAGTATTATTACACTCACTCTGGAATACTTGATATTGATTGGTCTATCGGGGTAGTGAGCAGTCAAACATTTAGTATGATGACTGCTATATTGTATATTTAAATTGTACATGCAACGTTCCAGTATGTTCACATCTCTTGTATCATGACACATTTTATTTTTATACCAATGCAAGAACATCTAATTGGTGTCATCTTTTTGAAAGAAATCAATACTTTTATTCAGCGAGGATGCATTAATTTGATCAAAAGTGACAGTAAAGACAAAAGAATGCAGTTCTTTTGAACATTCTATTCATGAAAGAATCCTGAAAAAAAATGTGTCAGAATACATTTGGTGTTCAGAAATGATTCTTGAGCACCAAACCAGCATATTAGAATTATTTCCGATGGAGCATGTGACACTGAAAACACTGCAGCAGCATCATAGAAATAAATGACACGTATTAAATGACAATATTCACTATATTACTGTTTACTGTGTTTGTGCTCAAATAAATGCATCCTTAGTGAGCTTAATTTCAAAAACATTAAAAAATCTTACATTAATTTTCAAAATACTTAGTTAGGCCACACTAACCTAACATAATCACAAACACTGTATAGTACAGATAGGAAGTGAATTGTAATGCAGATCTCAGGTTTATTTATGCTATGTTTACCTCTTTCCTTTCTCTGTGGAGGATTTACTGAGCTTTATGTGGCTTTGATGTAGAGAACAACATTCAAATTAGCTCGCGGAATGCAATTATTTAATTCCTTGAAGAGGATTCATTTTTTAT